ACTTTCAGTTAGGATACCTAATAATGACGTCTTCTTTTTTATGCTATTTTTATTACTTAATGATATTTTATTTTTAAAAACAAATTTAATTCCTTAATTTTTTTTTCCACATGGTTAAAATTTTAGTCTCTATTCCTTTTTTCCCCCAGTCCTTTTTTTTTTTTTTTTTTTTTTTTTTTTGTGATGTATAGGTGACATTAGTTTCAGGGGTACAACTTAGTGATTCAACAATTATATACAAAATGTTCACTATGGTAAGCTTAGTTATCATCTGTTACTATACAGTGTTATAATATTACTATGTTCTCTATGCTTACTTTTCATTCTCATGACTTAAATATTTATTTTGAGAGAGATCATGAGCAGGGGAAGGGCAGAGGGAGAGAGAGAATCTCAAGTAGGCTCCACGCTGTCAGCACAGAGCCCAGTGCGGGGTTCGAACCCACAAAATGTGATATTTTGACTTGAGCTGAAACCAAGAGTCAGTCGTTTAATCAACGGAGCCACTCAGATTCCCCTGACTTATTTAATAAGTTTGGAAGTTTGTACCTCGTTAATCCCTTTATTTTGTCTGTCCTTTCATCTCCCTCCCCTCCAACAACCACTGGTTTGTTGTCTATGAGTCTGTTTTTGTTCTTGTTTCTTTGTTCATTTGTTTTTGACTCCACGTATAAGTGAAAGCATAGGTTATTTGTCTTTCTCTGTCTGACTTACCTCACTTAGCATACATAACCTTTAGGTCCACTGATGTTGCCAGTGGCAAGATTTCATTCTTTTGGTTGAGTAATATTCCATTGTATATATGTACACTGCATCCTTATCCATTCGCCTATCAGTAGACACCTAAGTTGCTTCCATATCTTGGGTACTATAAGTAAAGCTGCTATAAACATAGGGGTGCATATCTTTTCAAATTCGTGGTTTTGGGGGTTTTTTGGTAAATACCTAGAAATGGAAATACTAGATCATATGGTAGTTGTATTTTTAGTTTTTTTTGAGGAATCTCCATACTCTTTTTCATAGTGGCAGTACGTTTACATTCCCACCAGTTCATAAGGGTTCCCTTTCTCCAACACTTATCTCGGCTTTTTTTTTTGGTACTAGCCATTCTGACATACGTGAGGTGATATAATTGTGGTTTTGATTTTCATTTCCCTGATAACTAATGATGTTGAGCATTTTTTCATGTGTCTGTTGGCCATCTTTATGTCTTCTTTGAAAAAAATGTCCATTCAGGTCCTCTGCACCTGGATAATAATTGGATTATTTGGGGGTTTTGGTGTTGAATTGTAGTTCTTCATGTATTTTGGATATTAACTTTTTATCATATATGCAACTAGCAAGTATCTTCTCCCATTTGGTAGGTTGCTTTTTTGTTTTGTTGCTTTCCCTCACTGTGCATAAGCTTTTTAAGTTTGATGTAGTCCCAGCTGTTTATTTTTGCTTTTGTTTCCCTTGCCTGGGAGATATATCCAGGAAAACGCTAAGGTTCATGTCCAAGAGATTCCAGCCTATGTTTTCTTTTAGGAGTTTTGTGGTTTCAGGTCTCTTATGTTTAGGTTTTTAATCCATTTTGAGTTTAATTTTGTCTATGATAAGGAAGTGGTCCTGTTCTCCCAGCACCATTTATTGAAGAGACTGTCTTTTCTCCATTATGTACTCTGGTCTCTTTTGTCATGGAATAATTAACCATATAAGCATGGGTCTTTTTCTGAGCTCTCAATTCTGTTCTTTTGATCTCTGTATCAGTTTTTGTGCCTGTACCGTACTGTTTGGTTATTACAGCTTTGTAGTATAGTTTGAAATCTTAGATTGTGATATCTCCAGCTTTGTTCTTTCTCAAGATTGCTTTGGCTATTCAGGGTCTTATGAGGTTCCATACAAATTTTTTTTGTTCTAGTTCTGTGAAACATGTTATTGGTATTATTTTAGGGATTGCATTGTATGGCCATTTTAACAATATTAAGTCTTCCAATCCATGAGCATGGAATGTCTTTCCATTTGTTTATATCATCCTCAGTTTCTTTCATCAATGTCTTTTTTTTAACCTTTTTAAAAATATATATTTTGAGAGAGAGTGAGCAAGTGAGCAGGGGAAGGGCAGAGACAGCGGGAAGGAGAGGATCCCAAGCAGGTTCCACTCTGTCAGTGCAGAGCCTGACATGGGGCTCAAACTCTTGAACTGTGAGATCATGACCTGAGCCAAAATCAAGAATCAGACACTTACCTGACTGAGCCACCTAGGCACTCCACCTTTATTATTTTTTAAAAATAAGCTCTATACCCAATGTGGGACTTGAAATCATGACCCTAAGACCAAGAGTCACATGCTCTTGATCTTGAGCCAGCCAGGTGCCCCTCATCAATAGCTTACAGTTTTCAGAGTACAAGCTTTTCACCTTCTTGGTTAAATTTATTTGTAAGTATTTTATTGTTTTCTTTCTTTAAAGTTTATTTTTATTTATTGTGAGAGAAAGATAGCAATCAGGGGGAAGGGCAGAGAGGGAGACACATCACGGAGCCTGATGGAGGGTTCAAATTCACAAACCAAGAAATCATGACCTGAGCCGAAATCAAGAGTTGGACACTTAACTGAGCCACCCAGGCACCCCCTAAGTTTTTTCTTTTTTTAAGTATCTACACTGAATGTGGGACTTAAATTCACAACCCTGAGATCAAGAGTCATATGCTCTTCCAACTGAGCCAGCCACCCTGGTATTTTATTCTTCTGATGCAATTTTTATTACCACTTCCATGTTTATGTATATATCATATTCTGCCTCTTTTTGTGTATCCCTTGACTAATTTTTATAGCTATAAGCGATTGATCTACTAACTTAACTATATATTTGCTTGTATTGTGAAGTTTTCTCCTCTCAGTTTTCTTCTGGTTGTGGCCTTCTCTTTCCGTTTATAGAATTTCTGTTAACATTTCTTGTAAAGCTAGTTTAGTAGTGATGAACTCTAACTTTTGTCTGGGATACTGTCTCTACTTCAATTCTGAGTGATAATTTTGCTGAATAGAGTAGTCTTGGTTGCAGGGGGTTTTGTTGTTTTGTTGTTTTTTTTCTTTCAGCACTTTATGCCACTCCCTTCTGGCCTGTGGAGTTTCTGCTGAAAATGAGCTGATAGCCTTATGGGGTTTCCCATGTATGTAAGTTTGCTTTTCTATTGCTTTTAGGATTCGCTTTTTAATTTTTGTCATTTTAATTATATGTCTTGGTGTGTATTATATACATATAATTATACATAATTATATGTATTGCCATTTTAATTATATGTCCTTGGGTTCACTGTAAGGCTCTCTTTGCTTTTTGCACCTGGATGTCTGTTTCCTTCCCCAGGTTAAGGTAGTTTTCAGTTGTTATTTCTTCAAATAAGTTTTCTGTCCCCCTTCTCTCATCTCCTTCTGTAACCCCCTATAATGCAAATGTTCATACACTGATAGATCACAGAGAGGTCCCTTAACTTATTCTCATGTATTACTTTTTCTTTTTGCTGTTCAGCTTTGGTGTTTTCCATTATCCTGTCTTCCAGATCACTGATCAGATCTGTATCCTCTACTCCACTGATTTCCTGTAGCCCATTTTTTTATTTTAGTTATTCTCTATCTCCGACTAGTTTTTAAATTTTATATCTCTGTGTTGAAGTTCTCCCTGAGTTCATCCATTCTTCTCTCAAGTCTGGTGTCTTTATGGCCATTACCTTGAACTCCTTATCAGGCATATTGCTTACCTGTTTCATTAGCTCTTATTTTGTGGTTTTGCCTTCTTTCATTTGAGATCTATTCCTGTCTCCTCATCTTGTCTGTTTCTGTGAATTAATTAGGTCAGCTCCTTCTCTTAGGTCTAGAAAGTAGTGTCCTTGTGTAGAAAGGGTCCTATGGTTCCCTGTAGCACAGTCCTCCCTGGGCACCAGAACCTGTTGTGGTTGATATGTGACTAATGCCTGCATGCTGGTTGGTGATGCTAGCCCTCTACCCAGCTGACTACAGTGATTATCCTCTAGTGTTGAGGATACACTGGTGGGCAGCGCTTATCCCCTGCACGACTAATAAGCCCTGCTTCAGCCTCTGCAGTGTGGACAGCCTATCTGCAGTGATCTGCTTTGCTTGCTGTGGGCTTACTGGTGGGTCGGGCTTGCTTCCTATGTGGCTGGCTCTGAGACCTGGTTGTAGCAGCTGTGGGTTTGCTGGTAGGCAGGGCTAGCCTGTAGCCCAGCTGTCTATAGTGAGCCTCTGTGACTGCTGCAGACACGTCGACGGGTAGGGCTTTCTCAAACCTCTATAGCTAGCTGAGAAGTGCAGCTACAGCAACTGCAGGTGCACTGGTGTGTGGGGTTAGCTCCCTCCTCTCCAGAGCAAGAGTTGCTTTGGAGGGGTGCCTGCTGGCATGGGCAGTTTGGAGAGGGCAGGGCACACCATGCTAGGAAGGTAGGTTGAGAATGTCAGAACTGGCTTCCATAAGTGTTCGGCTGTCTAGGCTGGGAGGGGGCAGGGAAACTGGCAGCCACCAGCACTTTCCTTCCTGGAGAAAGCTACTAGATTTCCTGTCGATTCCTGCCCCTCCTGTATACATCCTCAAATGAGGCAACAAATCTCCCTCACATACACCCCAGGCACTTTTCAAACTGCTTTTTAGTTATTTAGTGTATTGGTTTTTAGAGGGTGGAGCCTTGGTTTCCTATAGCCCTCCAGCTCTCCTGGAGTTAAGCCCCACTGATGTTCAAAACCAGACAGTATGGAGACTGGTCTTCCCAGTGCAAGTCCCCAGGGCCATTGGTGTCCAGTGTGGGGTCGCTTCTCCTTGCCTATGATGTCCTTCCCCTTTGTGGCTAGTCACTCCAGGGATTTAGCTGTGGAAGATCTGTTCTGCCAGGCTTCAGGTGGTTTGCAGAGTGGAGCAGTTGCCTTGATACATCCGTGGGATGAGGTGAATTCAGGGTTCTCCTGCTCTATCATCTTTGCTCGCCTGTAAAATTTCTTCTAAAAAATTACTCAGTTTTTCCACAGTGGACAGTTAAAGTTTAATATATCTTTTACACATTTCAAGTAGCTTGTTTTAATTTATGAACGAAAACTGTAGTAGGCCATAAAATATTAACATAAGGCAAATATGTGAAAATTATTTTAGAGTTTGTTTTTCATAGATCTGGACCTACTGGTACAAGAATAGAACCTGCATTAGATGACTGACTGCAAGCTTCTCCATAAGTTGGCCTCCAGTAATAATGCTTTTTAAGGCCATTGGAGACTTCTGCAAGATACACATGTCCATCCACCACAAATGGCTCCACATCTGTATTGTCTGGTTTTAGACGGCCTGTTTGAATTAAGTCTGAATATGCCTGTGATTTTTAAAAAAAGAACAAACTATCATTAATAAAATAGGTTGTTCATTTATCGTAATTAAATTTCTATATTCAAATTAGCTGAACTGATTTTCAGTTTAAAATATTTTGAGTAAATTACTGAATTTTATTATTTTCCACATATAGATTTTTGTTCACTTAATTTCACAATGAAATTAGAATCTTGCAAAATTTATTTCTAAGCTTTAAGGTATTTTTTGTCATTTTATGACTTCCAGAATTAACAATTCTCACTGTTACTGATTTTGTGGGCCAAAAGGTACCATGGTCAAAATTCCTACAGGGGATCATAAATGAGGGACATAAGGAGTTGTATATGCCCTTGAAAATTTGATGACCAGGGACCCGTTTCTCAGAAAAATAATCAGATTTTGGCATCCAACTCTCTGGAGTTCATAAACTCCCTGAAGCTCATTTATAGTCTGAGGCTAAGAGACCATTTCCATATTATTAGATGGTGGCCTGGCTGGTAGCCCCATTCTTTTTTCATTGTAGAATTTTCTTTGTTTATCTCATGGATCATTGGTACGTATGTAAGATCACACAAACATGTTAAGCTGGCTTGTCAGTAAGATTGTGTACAGAGATAGGCAGAAATGTAGACAGTGAAAGAAAACTTCAGTTGCTTTCTGCTTTATTCCAAGCTCACCTTAGTTTCTAGTGTGTAGAATATGTTTTTCTAAAATCAAGATTTAAATAGTATGTTTTATTACTCATTTTGGTGGTAGTTTTGGATAGCCTTTTTGCAAATTGAGATTTTTAGCATCTTCTTTCCAAATCAAAACTATTTGTTACTATGCTTTTTGTTTTGAAAGTCGTATCAAGGGCTGTATTTGCATAAGCAACTGTAGGTCTCCAAAACCATGTCTTGGTTTAATTATTGGGCAGCAGATTAGAGACTGTGCCGCATCAAATTTAGAATAAATCAACGATTGTGATTTTTAAAATGTTTTAACTTTGGAGGAGTTGGGACTGTGTCATTCGTTGATCTTTATATTAATATGTAGTATTTGAGGTATTTTGCTATTTCAACCACAGAACTTTGCAGTCATTTTTAGGGTTTATTTTTAAATGTATCAGAACTGCAGTGTCTGACTATATTTTGTAATCATTCTTTTAATATTTATTTTTGAGAGAGAGAGAGAGACCAAGCAAGTGAGCAGGGGAAGGAGAGAGGGAGAGAGGGAGAGAGAGAATCCCAAGCAGGCTCCACTCTGGCAGTGCAGAGCCTGACACAGGGCTCCAACTCAACAAACTGAGATCATGACCTGAGCTGAAATCAAGAGTCAGACGCTTAACCCACTGAGCCACCCAGGTGCCCCAATATGTTACAATCATTTCTGAGGCCACCTGTAAATGTCTGATGTTATAGAGAAGACCCCAGAAAAAGCCTTCAGTGAAGAAGAAAGAAAACAAAACAAAACATACCACACATGTAGCTTCATCAAATTTGTTTCCCCAAATGTAGACATTAGAGAGTATGTGGTTTGTTTTCATGGACTGTGAAAGTGCAACAAGTCCTTCTCCCTTTATGTTGTTGTTGACTACTGACAACCTAGGGAGAAACAAGAAGTAATAACCCTGGAAACCAGTAAATACTTTCACAAAGAAGATGCATAAGTTAGCCAACAACATTTACTACATTTCTTTCTAAGTTTGTTATTTTAAGAGAGGGGGAGATAGAGGATCCGAAGTAGGCTCTGCACTTACAGCAGAGAGCTCGATGCAGGGCTCAAACTCACGAAGCCTGACATCATGACCTGAGCCGAACTTGGTCACTTACCCCACTGAGCCACCCAGGCACCCTTGTTGAATTTTATGCTGTAAAATCTTGGCATTACTCTTCAGCGTCTGATGTAATCCTAAAATCCAAGAAACTTAGTTCTCTAATTGGATGCTTCATGTACCTAGTAGAGCTACCTACATTTTAGAAATCAGTAGGCTGTTTTAGATCATTCAGTAAATGTTTGGGGTGGATTACAAATACGCCCTTCAGGATTAAGTCATCCAAGTAGTATTTTTTTTATTTTGTAAGTCTTGGTCATATTGAATGATTGTGATTTTTCTATAGAATTCAGGGTAAATACTATAGGCAGTAAGAATTCTCTCAGTCTTGAATCGATCATAATTAGAACCAATATAATTTTTAATAGACATTACTTTTGGGGATGCCTGGGTGGCTCAGTCAGTTAAGTGGCCGACTTTGGCTCACATCATGATCTCGTGGTTCGTGAGTTCGAGCCCCACGTCAGACTCTGTGCTGACAGCTCAGAGCCTGGAGCCTGTGTCTCCCTCTCCCTCTGCCCCCTCCCCTGCTCACACTCTGTGTCTCTCTCTCTCTCTCTCTCAAAAATAAACATTAAAAAAAAAGACATTACTTTTGAAAAAGAAATTGAAATGTTTAATATGTCAGTTTAGAAACTATTTTTATATTTCATCATGCATCTTGAGTTAAAGGGCTTGAGGTTAGTGTTTTAAAGGTTTAAATTTGTTATTTTGATTAAATATATAGCGATACTAACGCTTTAAGACTCCTGTTGTGTGAAGCAAGAGTTTCGCTGAGATACTTTGCTCCTACATCTTCTATTCTGTTAAAAGAAAGATCTATTACTTCCAGAGTAGTATTGCTTTTCAGTACGTCAGCCAAACACACCATTCCATCACGAGTTATTTTATTGCTGGGAAAGGAAAAATACGTGTTACATTTGAAAATATGAAGTATTCTTCTTTTATTCATAGAGATTAACAGGCCTCAGAATTGTTATATAGAACAGTACTTTCTCGTTCACTAAAAGATTTTAATCACTCAATTTCCCAAAAAGTTAATGAAAATTTGCTATAAAATGTTACTTTCATTCTGGATTACTAGTGATTAAATTGCTCATTCACGTTGTAGGAGATACAATATCAGTATAAGCTAAATACTAAGACTTAGGATAAAAAACTGACAATGGTTGCATTTTCTGATCTTTGGAATTAGTATCTAACGGCGTGTCCTATGTACTGTAAATGTTTACATAGACTATTCCCAGGACTTCTGGATTAATGTATTATCACTTACCAGCTCACATCAAGGTAACGTAGGCTTCTATTCAGATACAGTGCATCGCATAATTGTTTTATTCCACAGTTTTTCATATTATGCTTACACATGTGTAGTGCAACAAGGCAGTGATTTTCTTTCAACATGTGGCCTAGATGAACTGTGGACTCTTCCTAAAAATAGGTAAAATCTTTTTCTAAAATACAATTTTGAAGCTGTACCTGTTTATTCCAAACATATGCTAAGTTATTTAAATTAGCTTTTAAAAAATATCAAGACTATTAGTCTGTAATTTTCATTTGTTTTGGCTTGGCTTTTAAGAAAAATCATTTTTGCCACAAATGATACCTTATTTTAAAAATAGACAGTAGGCACTTGCAAGGTACAGTGACTAAGTGATGTAAAGTAAAAGAGGCTGGTTTTAAAAAGGCATAATCCTAAACAATCATTCCAGGTGGGGGAAAAAAAAAAAACTGGTCCCATGACGTATTGAGCATATTAAGCCCCCTTATTGTTGTCCTCTCGGTCTCTAAATTTTTCTTATACCCTCCATATGTTCCTGAACTTTTCTCTTGATTCCTACTACTCTTCATAGTCTTTAGACAAAATACACATTTCCCAATGTTGATTCTTTTAAAAACACTCATTAATCCTGTGATATCTAGTTCTTCCCTTTTATAATCATCCCAAATTTCTAAATATGTTTTACTCTTCTAGTCACTGGAAGACTTAATTTGTAATTCCAAAATCTAGCTGCTTCCAGGCAAAAGGTATACAGCCTCAATGAGGATTTGAATACCAAGCACTTTAAATTTTTAAGAGTCAGAGTCTTGAAATGAATGGGTCAGAGTATTTTATGGTAAGAAGTCCTCTTGATTGCTGTATTTATAAGAAGTTTTACAGTCATTGGAAATGCTGAATACAAACATGGATAACTATGCTCAAATTACATACTTCTACATAATACTGAGAAAAACCTACTTTGAGAAAAACTTTAAAAGTTACACGAGACCACGTGGCAATAGCAGATAGTACATGAGTTTTATAATAAAAGTATATGAGCTTTATGATAAAACTGTCCAGGGGTGCCTGGGTGGCTCAGTCGATAAAGTGTCTGACTCTTGATTTCGGCTCAGGTCACGATCTCACGGTTCATGAGTTCAAGCCCCACAACGGGCTCTCTGCATACAGTGCAGAGCCCGCTTGGGATCTCTCTCTCCCTCTCTCTCTGCCCCTTCCCTGTTTGCGTGCGCTCTCTTGCTCTCAAAATACCCTTAAAACTGTCCAGATACTTGCATTATACTAGCTGTAGGAGTTTGAGCAAATTATTTCATCTAGCTGAGTCTCAGTTTCCTTTCCTGTAGAACAGATAAAATTCTACTTCCCTCAGAGAATTAAATTAACAAAAAAGTACATGGCCCCAAATAAGTGTTCTATAGAACACTGCAAAGCATTTATTATTATTCAGTGTTCTGTAATCCTGTATCTTATTTAAATTATTGCTGACACTGAAATAGATACACCCAAAGGAAGCTATAGTTTCGGATCTTAACAAATGCAAACTGATCACTTACGGGGCCAAATATTGCTCTGCATGGTGCCTGAAACAGAGGACATGATACATATTTGTGTTTTATGCTTTGCATTTTTTTTTAGGTCAAGAAATTCGGTCGAGTGACCACCCTTATTAAGGGACGGAACTAGAATCAGAAATAGTAAAGAGTTTTTAGGTCAATGCGCTGAGTTTGACAATTTGCCTAAGATGATGCCTGGCATCAGTATCTTTCCAAGCTCCCCAGATAAATGGAATTCATTAAATGGAACAGGTTTGCAGGCTTATGTTTGGGAACAGCACAGTATGAGGAAGCACATGAGGATTCTACTCTACGGCCACTGAAGAAACTAGTGCTCACAGGGAGAGAGAGGGTGGTGGCTGCCTTAGGAATAGAAAGCAGGCTAGAGTTTACCTGACTGGCTAAACTCTCAGCACCAGGCTGAGAGCAAGGGCTTGGACCTGAAAAAGGCCTTTGGGCTTTTCATAATTCTCAGATTTGGGAATGACAACACTTCACACAAGAGGAATTGTGCTTCTGATGTGATTTCATATAGTTTAACACACTTATTTCTTTGAGGCTTTAATCCAGAAAATTTTGATTTAGCCTTCATATGTCACATCCTCAATCTGAGAACCTTCTCTGCCACTTCTAAAAGAATGTTAAAGGATTAAGGAGAAGCCTTGACAGCAGGTACCATGTTTTCCCTCATCTTGTCTCCAGTAGGTAGCTTACCTATAGGATCAAGTCCAGACTTCCCAGGCTGCTATTCACTCACATTCTGCCATTATTACTCATAATTTCAAAAGTGGTTTAGTGATACCAATAGACAACAAAACAATTTACACTGAGCTTTTATAATCCAGCCTTTAAAACTTGAATCATTTGGGGGCACCTGGGTGGCTCAGTAGGTTAAGCATCCGGCTTCAGCTTAGGTCATGATCTCACGGTTTGTGGGTGAGATCACACATGGGGCTCTGTGCTGACAGCTCAGAGCCTGGAACCTGCTTTGGATTGTGTGTCTTCCTCTCTCCCTGCCTCTCTCCCACTTGTTCGTTCTCTCTCTCTCTCTCTCTCTCTCTCAAAAATAAACATTAAAAAAATTAAAAAATAAAACTTTAATCATTTTTGTCTGAACTACTTTGCCTCTCTACAGGTTTACTCACTGTTAATCTGAGTTTACAAGAAAAAAAAAAAAGACATGTTTACTGCTTAAATAAGCAACATCTAAAATCATGACTCAATTTTTCTTCAAGTAAGCTTTTGTTTGTAAATGCAGTTAATTCTAAAAATTTAGGGGCGCCTGGGTGCCTCAGTCGGTTAAGCGGCCGACTTCGGCTTAGGTCATGATCTCGGAGTCTGTGAGGACTGTGAGTTCAGGCCCCACGTCGGGCTCTGTGCTGACAGCTCAGAGCCTGGAGCCTGTTTCGGATTCTGGGTCTCCCTCTCTCTGACCCTCCCCTGTTCATGCTCTGTCTCTCTCTGTCTCAAAAATAAATAAACGTTGAAAAAAAAAATTTTTTTTAATAAAAAAATAAAAAAAATAAAAATTTAATGCATTCATGAACCTTGACATGACCTTCAATAAATAGTACCTTCGTTTTATTCACATATAATAATATTAGCTGTCATCACTTTGAATACATACCTGTTCACCATACAGTATAGGTCGGTTTAGGTTTATTCCCTTAATTGTTTGGTTTTGAGTTAGGACTGTAGCAAATGCTATCACACTTTGCATTCCCTAAAAACAATAAATTCATTAAGGAAACTGACAACATATTTAACGTCCCTATTTCAAAATCAGTAATCTGGATTCAGTTAAATAAATTTTATTTTGAATTGTAAACCTTGCGTGGTCAAATTCAGAAATGAATGATCACTGTGTTCTTTTCTCCCTGGCCTAAAATCTGTAACATGATGGGGAGTTCTGAAAGTTTCACAGTCCATTTCCTAGGATGTTTACCTCCAGGTTTGCTCCTAAGTCCTCAGGGTACTGTGTGTTGCAGACAGACCTCAGATACATAGATACACACGTGGGTCCCAGCTAGCACTCTGCACTACTGAGAATACTGCAAGTATTATGCATACTTGAACCCTCTGTGTGAGTTGTGGCAAAGATTTACTAATCCATTTTTCACAGCTTCCACAGGCCTCCCTCTTTACCTTATTGGAAGGGCCTAATTCTTCCCCCATTTCTGTGATGGACACCACCGACCACACCCGGGTGTTACACCAGAAAACCTGGGCTTCCTTGCACTCTGCCACTCCACTCACCCTCCCCTCCAATTAATCAGTAAGTCTTCAGAGATTCTGTCTCCAAAAGATGTCTCAAATTAGCCCATCTGGGTGCCACCACCCCAACCCCAGTCCTTATTGTCACCTGGACTACTGTAGTAACTTCCTAAATGGTCTGTGAGCTTCCTCTGTCACTCTCTAATTCCCCAACAGAGAAACCAGAGATCTTTTTAAAGGACCAATCAGATAACGTCACTTCTCAAAGCCTTTCCATGACACATATTTATAGCAATCCCCTCTTCCCCTGATGTATGACCTGCAACCCATACAACATTGCTGGATCTGGCCTCTGCAAACCTCCACCTTCATTTTGAGATACTCTTAACTCCCTCATCCACTCTGGCTTTTGAGTTCTTAAAACCTGCGGAGTCAGTATTTCATTACTCATGTACCTCTCATGATTTTTGCTATATTTGGGTGTCAGTTTTATTATTTACTTAATAGTTTTCCATTAAATCAATTCACTTTTTCCATCTTATTTTAAAACTGTCACTACTATAAATGGAAAACCTTAAAATAAGTAAATTCCTCAAAATAAGCATTTGTAAAAATAAATACATTAGTATTAAAATCGCCTCAGTCTGTATTAGTAATGCCACCCATACAACACTTGGGGCAGCACTATCTTAGAGTCTGTATGTGTTGGACCTCTGACTTGAATGTTCTGCCATGGATGCTTTCCAAGGCAGTTTTTCCTCATCCTTCATGACCAGTGTTACCTCCTCAGATATTAGAAACTACCCTATCCTGAAGATTACCTCCTACTTGGCAATCTTTGTAGCACTTTTCTGTTTATTGATGTTTTCCCAACTGGAATATAAGCTTTCTAATGAAGTAGCATTTTTTTTTTTAATAAGAAACAACAATAACAACAAAACACCACAATCTTTTTTCTCAAAAGATCCCATATAGGTTAAGAAGGGTTATAGATGGAAGCTTAGGAAGAATTTTATTCTAAGTATTCCTCTATAATAAATACAATCTGATTTTATTAATAGCACTATTATGCCTAATAGTATATATATTAAAAAAAAAAAAAAACTTTTTCTCTGATATTAGGGGAAAGCTTAATCATTCCTAAGATGGTCATTTAGCTGGTCTCTTTAACAATTACCTATCCTGGTTTCCAGGGAGAATGACGCAGTACCTAGGCAATATTTCTTATAACCATTTTACTCACCAGATCACAGTCACCCAGATCTAATTTTTCTAAGGATGAATTAATTTGCAGCATTGCAGCAAAAAACATTCCACCTTTATTTTCAATCTTGTTTCCAGTCATTCTTAGGTATTTCAGAGTTGTATTCTTCTGAAAAGGAAAAGAACCAAAACTTCGTTAAATTTTAGTCCACAGAATTCTTGTTTGATTACGTGAGTTAGGAGACTATATTACTATTTGTAGACTCCTCAGTTTTTCATGAAGACAGAAGAGGATACACTCCTTAAAGGTACCATTCAGCTACTCATAACATAAAAATCTAGCTTAATTTTTTAGTGGAGAGAATGCCCAGGAAACAGATGCCCAAAAATGCCCAGTAAATGAAGCAGATTTTAATAAATTTTCCTTTCACTGGGAAATCTATAGGTTTGTTTTCTAACAAAATTATGCCACTTTTTTTTTTAGGTGAAATTCACATAACCCAAAGTTAACCATTTTAAAGTGTACAATTCACTGGCTTTTAATAAATTCACAGTGTTACACAGCCATCACATAGCTAGTTCCAAAGTATTTTTATTACCTCCTCAAAAGGAGACACTATACCCATTAAGTACTCATTCCATATTCTCCCTGTATCACTTCTAAAGGAATATAATTTCTCAAACATTTGCAAAGTTTAACTCCTCTCATTCCACTCTTTTGATAATTCTTTCACAAATAAAACTACAGACATTTCAATATGCTGATGAGTAAATATCAGAAGACATGTAAGTGCAAATAGTTATCTTTAAAGTTAATCCAAACCCCTTTAAGAGCAGGAAGAAGGCAAGGAGGTCTACTGTTAACACTTCTATTTAATATTGTACTGGGGATTCTAGACCAAGCAATTAGGCAAGGAAAAGAAACAAAAAAGGCATCCAGATTGGAAAAGAAGTAAAACCATCTCTGCATATAATGTGATCTTATTTATGGAAAATCCAAAGGAATCCACCAAAAAAGCTGTTAGAACTAGTGAGTTCAGTGAGACTGCAGGGCAAAAGACCAATTTTGTGTGTGTGTGTGTGTGTGTGTGTGTATTTTTAATCGTATTTCTACACACTAGCAATGAACAACCCAAAACTGAAATTAAGGTTATCCCATTTACAATAGCATCAAAAAGAATAAAACGTTAGGAATAAATTTAGCAAAAGCAAGACTTGTACGTTAAAAACAAAGCACTGTTGAAGGAAATGAAAAACCTAAATAAATGGAAACCCTTCCCATGTTCGTGGATCAGAAGACTTAATACTGTTAAGATGGCAATACTCCCCAAACTGATCTAAAGACTGAAAGCAATTCCTCTCAAAAATCCTTGTTTTTCTTGCAGAACTTGATAAACTGATCTTAAATTTCGTACGGAAATGCAAGGGACCAGCACATCTTGAAACAGAAAGGACCCATGCTTCTTGACTTCAGAACTGGCTACAAACTACAGTAATCAAGATAGTGTGGGACTGGCATAAGGATCAAAATACAGGTTAATAGAATGAAGAATAGAGAAATAAGCCATTTACAATCGATCGAGAAAATTAATGGGGAAGAACAGTCTTAAATAGTATTGGGACAACTGGATATCCACATACAGAAGAATGAGGTTAGACTCCCACCTCACATCATATACAAAAATTGACTCAAGATGGATCAAATAACTAAATGAAAGAGCTAAAACAAAACTGTTAGAAGAATACGCAAGTGTAAATCTTCATGACTTCGAGTTAAGCAAAGCCTTCTTAGATATAACAACAAAAGCACAAACAACAAAAGAAAAAATAAATCGAACTTTATCAAAATTAAATAATTTTGTGCTTCAAAGGACAGACACCATTAAGGAAGTGAAAAGGCAACCTAAACTACAGAATGAGAGAAAACATTTGCAACTCATGTATCTGATAAGGGACTTACATCCAGAACATGTAAAGAACTCTCACAGTTTATAAATTTTTTTTTTAACGTTTCAGACAGAGAGAGACAGAGCATGAACGGGGGAGGGGCAGAGAGAGAGAGGGAGACACAGAATCGGAAGCAGGCTCCAGGCTCTGAGCCATCAGCCCAGAGCCCGACGCGAGGCTCGAACTCCCGGACCGTGATATCGTGACCTGAGCTGAAGTCGGATGCTCAACCGACTGAGCCACCCAGGCGCCCCAGAACTCTCACAGTTTAAAAAGACAACTAAAAACCATTTAAAAATGGGCACCGAATAGACGTTTCTCCAAAGAATGGCACATGCAAAGATGCTCAACATCATTATTTATGAGGGAAATGCAAATCAAAACCACAAAACCTCTTCATATCCACCAGGATGGCTAAAATCAAGACAGTAACAAGTGCTGGTGAGGATGTAGAGAAATTAAAACACTCCACATTGCTGGTAGAATCATAAAAAGGGACAGCCACTTTGGAAAACAGTTTGGGAGTTTCTCAAGATGTTGAACACCATTACCAAATGATCTAGCAGTTTCACTCCTAGGTATATACCCAAGAAAATGGAAAACCTATGCACACAAAAATGTGCAAATATTCACATTATTATATATAATTCACATTATTATAGACAAAAAGTGGAAAACCAAATGTCCTTTAACTGATAGATGAACAAAATAGGATATATCCAAATCATGGAATATTATTGGGCAATAAGAAGGAATGAAGTATGTTACAATATGGATGAACACTCACTGGGGAGTGAAAGAAGCATGGAGAAGGGTTGCTAATGGCTTTGCGGCATCTTTGGGGGATGAAAAGTTCTAAAAATAGGCAGTGGTGGTTGCACAATTCTGAATACACAAAGACCCACAGAGCTGAACACCTTAAAGGTAAATTTTTATGGAAAAAAATTTTTATGTATGTGAATTATACCTCAATAGAGCTGTTTATTTTTAGGGGTACCTGGGTGGCTCAGTCAGTTAAGTGTCTGATTCTTGGTTTTGGCTCAGGTCATGATCTCACGGTTCATGGGTTTGATCCCCACATCGGGCTCTATGCTGGCAATGTGGAGCCTGCTTGGGATTCTCTCTCTTTCCCTTCCTCTTTGTCCCTCCCCTGCTCACTCACTCTCTCAAAATACATAAATAATCATTTTTTTTAAACTGAGTTCAAAAGTGCTTGTAATATTACATTTTAATACATCAAAGTGCAATAAAAGTACACATTTGCATAATAATGTAAGTTCACAGTGATATTTTATTATGTTGATTACAAGCTATCAGAAGTTAAAATTCCCAAAGAAAATGTTGGTTTAAGGTATATAAATGCTTACATGTAGTGCTTTAGCAATCAATTCTCCACCTTCGGGCCCAATATCATTAAACATAAGATTTAAATAAATGAGTTTATGTTGTTTCTATAATAAGGAGAGAAAAGAAACTATTATTAGGAATGCAATTATTAGGAAACAAATCAATCTAGGAGCTGCTTTATTTAAATAAAAGTATTCACCTCCAAAGAAAATCTTTGCAACATAGAAAATCTGTAAGTCCAGCAAAAGAAACTACATTAAGGGCCGGGGGAGGGGGTGGAGATTACCATTCTCATTTAAACATAACTGCAATATAAATGAAAGAAAACGACCACATTCTTTTTTGATCAGTGATTCAAAGTATGAATGTGCTTGCAAAGTATGAGTACAAGTTTGCAAAAGAGGACTCAGGAGCTCTAGGTACCAGTAGTCTACTGATAAATACACAGGTGGGTTTTCAGTGTATTTCAAGTGTTATAAATATAGTGCAAGGTCAGGACCTGGACATTTTGCAAAACTATCACTTTGTGGGTGTGCCACGAGGCTAGGTGGTTTCACTGTAAACAGAACATTTTGATGACTTTTGCAGCATTTTTGTAATTGTTGAGAATAAATTATTTAGTTTATATTCTTTTTAAATCTTCACTCTGTCCTTACGTTGTGTGCTATCTCATGGACAGGAGAATTTTAAAATCACTTTTAAGCTCATTGGAAACATGTTTAGCAGTTGAGATTGGGACAAGTAAGAACTTTAAAAAAGCAAATTCAAGAGAGGTAGTAAGTGATATATGCTGCCTCAAACATTTTAACTGAGAAAACAGACACATACACATATTTGCCAATCGTCTTGAGGTTGGAACAAGGGCCTTTTCCTAAAGTACACCTATCTGATTGGTGGACCACACGTTTTTTGTTTTGTTTTGTTTTTTTGACCACACTGTATTTCTTAAATAAAATGCAACCATAATGCAGCACTTCAGCCTGGGCAGTTCCAAAGTGAAGTCTGTAATAAAGGGTTAACTTAACAGGCTTAGGGTACTCAAACTCTGCACATTCCAAAGAAAGGACTGGTTCTTAACTGATTCCTGGGAGAAAGCAAAAAGAACGAGAACATGTTGCAGTAAAATACCTGAAGCAGTCTTGCAGCATAGTATGCACCAACATCACTCATGAGGTTATATCTAACATCCAAACCTGGAGAACACGGATGAATAGAGGCAGATATTCCTTATAATGAATAATTAAAATCAGGAAGATGAAAGCAAGAGGCAACGATTCTTAAGGAAGCATATACCATTAATATATGGATTCTTCTTTAAAATTCTGGAAAGAATCCAAAAATCTTCACCTGTTATTCTTTCTACTGGCATTAAGCGACTGTTACCAGGAATGTTTAATGTGATTCCTTCCAATCTGTTAAAATACAAAAAAGAAACCCAGTAAAGAAGTAAAAGCACTTTTTCCCTCGTGTGTAAATAGTAACGTCATGAATAGCATTTACTGAAACCAAGTATGAGTCACAATATAGATTTACAGCAAGTAACTTAAGAGGGCTGAATATTCTACAGATTTTACAGACACTTTTATATTATAGAATTTTTCTCACACACACACAAAACAATGTATCTCCACTTGACAGATAATGACATCAAAGACTTAAACGATTTTCATAAATAAATCCAGCCCACAGGAGTTCAGCACAAATCTGGAGCCGAGAGCCACTGGTCTCGTGTTCGTCCCCATATACTCCACTGCCTCTGGGACTAACGCTGTCCATCATTTACCTCTCTAGATCAAAAAGTACGCCCATTTTAAAAAGGATTTGCAAGCGGCTTTAAACAAATCACTCAGTATTCCCGGATTTTCACACAGATGATTATCAGTGAATATTACTTATGTAATCAAGTATTTGTCTTCCTTACCCCTTTTCAATTTCTTCATCCACTTCCTGGAGTAGATGCCATACAAAGGAATTAATTTTCCTGGACTTTGCCATACATAGATTATAATAATCTTCCTGGAGACTGCCAATAATTTCTGGAACTTTTGAAAAAGTAGTGCATTACTCTTCACAATGTGAATTATACTGGGACCTTTCCCTTTCCCTCTACACCTTCCCCCTGCCCCCCGCAAAAAAAAAAAAAAAAAAAAAAAAATTACACTTCTTCCAAAGATACGAATGTGTATGTGAATAGAGTCAGGGGTAAGGAAGAAAAGGAGATGGGATTAAGAGCAAAAGGGGGAAAATAGAAGGAATCGAGGCGAGTGAAAATGCCGTTCGAACTAGAGCCATAGAAGCCCCCACTGAGGGTAGGCAGACACTAACTTGGAAGCAACACAAAAGGACAACTACAGGCCTGGTAGCTGAGGAAAAGGATATTCATAAAAATTAAATATTTTGTCCAAAACCATACAGCTAATGAGGGCAGAGTATAAAAACTGACTCCAAAGCCTCTTTCCACTCTGCCACCTTAGGTTAGGATGACTCACACTTTCTTATCATGACTTCAGATAAAGACAATTCTATCAGAGAATCTAAACTTTAAAAAGATCTGAAAAATCACCACGTCCCATAGGCTTCTTGGATACCCTCTATACCATGCAGGTTGATGCATCTTTGAATATAGCTGTCAGTTCCTCCTTACACTAAGTGGAGGCCTGGCTCATAGCAGCTCTTCACCTACCCTAGCCTTCCATGTCCTCTATTTTTTTTTTTTTTAAGTTTATTTTGAGAGGGAAGGAACCAGTGGGGAGGAGCAGAAGCGTGGGGACAGAGGATCCTAAGCAGGCTCTGTGCTGACAGCAGCGAGCCTGATGTGGGACTTGAACCCACAAACTGTGGGATCATGACCTGAACCCAATTTGGACACTTGAGCCACCCAGACACCCCCTTTTCCTCTTTCTAAAGATTGATTTTGCTCTGTTCAGCCCTTAAAGAAGACTGAAACAAAGCAGGAGTTGAATTCTCTCCTTTGTTACACCTGCTTTCCTTAAAGGTCTTAGTTTTTCATATTAACTTAAAAGGATCTTTTGCCAGACCCACGCCTTCCAGGGTGGAAGCTATGCTGTCACTCTCAGAAGCACATGCCACTATCTTTGTTTTCTGTCCTATCTTTTGTGTAAGTCTCTTGAAAAAAAAAAAATCTGTGCTCAGAGATCTCACGACTCAACCAACCTAGTGTCTTCAGAGCCAGCCTCTTTGAGTCTCTGCATCTCAACAGATGTTCTTTGCTGAGATTTTTGCTGAGTAGATTTCTACATTATATGAACCCAAGAGTTTACTAAACAAATTTGCAAAACAAGATTTAAGATGAGGAACGTTGTATTAAAAAGGAAAGCAGTAAACTTTTCTTAACAGTTTTTAAGAATAAGCTTTAAAGGGTCACTTGGGTGGCCAGTCGGTTGAGGTCTGACTTCGGCTCAGGTCACGATCTCATGGTCTGTGAGTTCGAGCCCTGCGTCAGGCTCTGTGCTGACAGCTCAGAGCCTGGAGCCTGCTTCGGATTCTGTGCCCTCTCTCTCTGCTCCTCCCCTGTTCATGCTCTGTCTCGGTCTCAAAAATAAATAAAAACATTAAAAAAAAAAAAAGAATAAGCTTTAAAGGGGCACTTGGGTGGCTCAGTCGGTTGAGCGTGCGACCCCAGCTTGGGTCACAATCTCATGGTTTGTGAGTTCGAGTCCCGTGTTGGGCTCTGTGCTGACAGCTTGGTATTGTCTCCCTCTCTCTGTGCCCCTAACCCACTCACATTCTGTCTCTGTCTCTCCCAAAAATAAATAAACATTAAAAAAAATTTAAATAATAAGTTTTAACAAAAATTAACCTACTTATTCCAGACAACTTAGAAATTTCAGTATAAAAAAATAAACATTTATTAGCAATCCCACTGCCAAAGAACCATTATAACAGGCCTGTGGGTATTTCCTCCCAAATGTTTTTCTCACATATGTACTTATTAGCATTTTTAAACAAAATTGGAATATTTCAGTACAGTTCCATATCTTTTAACATTATGTTGTGAGTTTTCCCATGTCATTCTCTGAAATTTTTTTATGTCAACAGAATTTCCTCTCTTGTGTGTGGATGTACCTAAGAAATCCTTCACTTATTTTAGGAAGTTTTCATGTATTTAAACAACATTTTGGCACAATATCTCCCAAATTGTGCTCTTTACAATACTAATCTATGAAATGATCAAAGATACTCTGGGGCACCTGGGTGGTGCAGTCAGTTGGGCATCTGACTTTGGCTTAGGTCATGATCTCACGGTTCTTGAGTTCAAGCCCCGCATCAGGCTCACTGCTGTCAGTGCAGAGCCCGCTTGGATCCTCTATCCCCCTCTCCCTGTACCCCTACCCCGCACGCTCTCTTTCAAAAATAAACATTTTTAAAAAAAGATGTTCTCTCTCTCTCTCTGCCCCTCCCCCGTTCATGCTAATAAATAAAAACGTTGAAAAAAAATTAAAAAAAAAAAAAAAAGATGTTCTAAGTAGAATAGATTTTATTGTCAGATAAGCTTGGGAAGCGCTGCAGTAAACAAAGCTAAACAGACCCCTATCTGTATAACACTTCTCTGGACATTAAAAACACTCAAGAGCGTAAAGAGTCTTTAAATTATTGAGCCTGGAGAGAAGGGAGAATAAAAATACTCCATCTCCCAGACTTATGTGACCAGGGTTCACATGGAATTCAATCTACAAAATGCTACTTTGGCATTCTCGACAGGAAACATAGCAAACAGATCTCAAACACATTTACTTGTTGGAGCTGCACTCCCACTGGGCTTGTTTCCTCCCTTCTACTACCTCCCTTGTTTTGTTTTTTAAATTTTAACAATTATTTTTGAGAGAGACAGATGGACAGACAACGCGAACGGGGGGAGGGACAGACAGAGAGGGAGACACAGAATCTGAAGCAGGCTCCAGGCTCCAAGCTGTCTGCCCAGAGCCTGACACGGGGCTCGAACTCACAAACCATGAGATCATGACCTGAGCTGAAGTCGGACCCTCGACCAACTGAGCCACCCAGGAGCCCCATCCTTGGTGTTAAAAACAGAAGACTACCGTGAGAATCTCTGAGGCTCAGTGCCTGCCTTCAGCTGGCCACAGCACACCCAGGACATGCAGGAGAAATGCGTCAGACTTAGAAATCCTATTTCTTTGAAAGAAGGAGGGAATCTTAAACTATACACTAAATATAGCTAAAGAAAGTTATACGAAAAATTCTTATTACCCGACTGTGGATTTAAAGTGTTTAAAAGTTTCTGGTATATTTTTCTGTTATGCTCTCTTTCATTTAAAATTCACCTAAGTACTGTATGTCAGGATTTTATGGCATCAGTAATTTATTTCCTGTATTCATATTCACAGAAAATAAGTCAGTGTTCTAATTGTAAAGCTAAGACTAGGAATACCAGTTACACAAGAAAATGTCAAAGTCTAACCCAAATGTCATTTTTAATCCATGCCAAAGTCTTATATTCCAAATATTTTCCACCTAGGAGCACTTTTTAAAAATTCTATATTAAAAAAAAAAAAGTGGGCAGGGGCTCAGTTTGGAGGTGGTCCCCTATGCCCTCCTACACTGGCACCACCCAAGTACTGGGGAAATCCAAGGGTTGGGAGTGAGTCAGAGTAAGTGCCTATCCAGGATCAGCTGTGTGACTTTGAACAAGTACAAGTTATTTATTTATTTATTTTCAACGTTTATTTATTTTTGGGACACAGAGAGACAGAGCATGAACGGGGGAGGGGCAGAGAGAGAGGGAGACACAGAATCGGAAACAGGCTCCAGACTCTGAGCCATCAGCCCAGAGCCTGACGCGGGGCTCGAACTCACGGACCGCGAGATCGTGACCTGGCTGAAGTCGGACGCTTAACCGACTGCGCCACCCAGGCGCCCCAAGTACAAGTTATTTAAATTCTCCCATCTTAAACTTCCTCTTATGCTAGAGGCAGAGCTAGATGCCCATCTCACAGATGCAGTAAGGAATAGGTAAAGCTTCTAGCACAGTTCCATATCTACAAGCACACAACCCTTTAAAACAAGCATCCAGGGGCCCCTGCGTGGTCTGACTTAGCTCAGGTTATGACCTTACTACTCATGAGTTCAAGCCCCACATGACCTCTGTGCTGACAGGTCAGAGCCTGGAGCCTGCTTTAGGATTCTGTCTCCCTCTCTCTCTGCCCCTCGCCTGCTCATTCTCATTCACTCTCTCAAAAATAAACATTTAAAAATATATTTAAAAAGACAAACAAAAACAAGCATCCAAAATGGAAACAGTGTGGAATACCTGGGTGGCTGAGTCAGTTAAGCAACCCATTCTTGATTTCTGCTCAGATCATGAACTCATGGTTCTTGGGTTTGAGCCCTGTAATAGGGGTCCTACTGAGCCTGTTTGGGATTCTCTCTCTCTTTCTCTCTCTCCCCCTTTCTCCCTCTCTACCCCTCCCCTGCTACGTGCTCTCCCTCAAAAATTAATCTAAAAAAAAAATGGACAGGATGGCAGGAGGAGGGGTGTACAGACCATACTCGAGACCCTCTTGCCCACCTAGGCCCCGCTTTCTGGAGCTTGCACACAAAAAAGGGCCCAAGAGGAGCACCTACACACCCTTCCCTGAGACGGGAGAGCAAATCAATAGACACACCTCCCCCAGGACAACCTATCAAGTGAAGGGCAGACCCTCGGGGAGGAAGGGGGCGGATCGTGGGGCTCCCCTCCCACCCATATGTGGGGGCCCCCCGAAGTTCTGGCCACAGCTGGGGTTCCCAGGGGCACCCTCCTGCCAAGCCGCCTCAGGCCGGCAGCCTGCTCGGAGGAAAGGGCTGGTGCGAGCAAGCCCGCGGCTGGGGTAGCGCCCCTCACCCGCTCCACCTGGCCAGGCAGGCGCTGAAGGATACCCTATTTCTTACCGCTCCTGTCGGCCGGGGCCCAGGACGTAGTAGGGATTGTAGTGGGAGCGGGAGGGGGAGACGGGGACTTGGCCCGGGCCGCCACCTTCCCACCGCCCCGCATCTCCCTTTCCGCCCCCAGAGCCGTGGTGGAGTTGTCATGACGACCGCGCGCATGCGCCTGCCCAGTCCCGGGCCTCCTGCCAGCTGCACCAGGGCTCGGGTGACCGCCGGACCCTGAACGCCACCTCCAGCCCGCTGCGCATCCATTACCCACTTGGGCCCTTAAGGCCTGTCTGGGCAGGCGGTGACCACCAATGCTATGGAGGCTCCTCGGTCACCCCCGCCTGGCTTCGGGTCACCTTGACCTGGGTTAAAAACACAGACGGAGGGTGCCCCGGTTCCTTTGCAGGGAGAAGTTCTTGAGGTTTAGCGGGCACGGCTGATAGGCTGGGGGCCAGGGCTACAATGACGATTGTGACACAGTCCCCTCCCCAAAGCGTGCACATACCTGCGGGGGGCCAAGTACAGAAGAACGTGGTAGCACCAGGACAGATAAGGTCCGGAGCTAAGGAAGCTGAAAGGGGTATGTAGATCAGTCTTGTGTTGGGGCGGGGGTATCAGGGAGGGCTTTTTGTCGGAGGTGACTCTCTGACCGGCCCCAGCGAATCCGTCCCAGGTGCTGGAGACACACAGGTACTTGGGGCTGCCTAGATGAGTATGGGGTGGGTGGGGGGGGAGGCGGGCAGGGCCAGATCCACACGGAGCCCTGCGCATCCTCTGAGAAGCACAGCTGATAGGGGGCAAGGTGCTGGGAGCCCACAGATAGGAAACAGCTGGTGGAGGGTGGATTTGACAGGATCTAGGGGAGACTCTGAAGCAGCCTCAGTAGCCCAACAGAGATAGGGCCTCAGCCGAGGCTGGACTCAGTGAAAGGAGGAGATGGGGACAAAACCCAGCAAGAGGTACAGGGTAGCATGCTCAGGATTTGGTACTTGGATGGGGGAGAGAGAAAAAGAGGAAGGAGGAAAGGAAAGGTCTTCTGTTTGGGGTTAACCATAGACTGCAGAGGAAGCAGCTGAAGGGCCCTGGAGAGAGAGAGAGCTCTGGAACCAACCAGAGACTCCGTGCCTGGAGGATAGAAGGAAGACCCTCAAGGTGAAACCAGGACATTTATGAACACTGTTCAAAGGTGAAAAATAAAGTGCCCAAGACCTCTCTCCCGGAAGCTACCCCACTAGGCAATTCCAGAAGAGCACTCCACTGTTAGCAAATTGTGCTAGGAGGCAGGGGTCTCTGCGTAGCCCACAGACTGTGGCCATCACTTGAATTACTTCAGGTTAAACATGATAGAAAATACTGTTTTCATTTACCGCGGGGGGGGG